TTTCTTTCACGATGTATACCTTGTAATATACAATATCAAATAAAGAAATGATGTTTACCTACTGGGATAACCCCCCCCAAAAAAAAAACAATTATACTGTATATGAAAATATTAAATAAAATTGATATTCAAATAAATTAATCTTTGGTCTTTATTATAAGTCTCTTTAAAATAAGACAAATGTTTTTGAACAACAAATTATGTAATGATCAAATAATCGTCGTACAAAAAAAACGAGTTTTGACAAAGGAAGCTTTTTAATAAATTCATCCGATCTTCAAGCGGAACATTGATCTCTTTATGAGGTTTTTTATCTAATTTTTCTAAAGTCTTTTCATTAAAGATTTTTAGTTGGATTTGTTGAAAACAAACATAAATTATACGTATAATTATTTAGCAATCGTAGTTCAATATTGCTGAAACTTTTTAGATTCGGTATGCACTATTTCGTCAACTAATTGTAACAAATTTGATCCAATATCGATTTTAAATCCAAAACTTGAATTATAACATAAGCTCGCTCAAAAATGTCAAATAACAATGGTGAAATTTCCGCAGAGGTTAGCCTTTGGGAGGAATAGGGATTCCGTATTTACTTTCTGAATTTTTTTATAATTCGCGTGACAATATTTCTCACAGAAATTAGCAATTATTTAAGGACAAAAACGCAGGCCCTACCATTGAGACGGTAGCAGAGTTAATAAAATCTGGAAAAGGTTAGTGGTACGAATTTATACTAGATAAATATATTCTCGTCTCAATTCTATTTGTTTTTTTAAATAGCCAAAAAAATCATGATAATGTGTGGAGCAGGAATCTCAACCGCTGCTGGTATATTTCTAATCTATTTAGCTCCTACTATCTGGTTGTCAAATAATCTCACGCTTTCAATTATTATAGGCATACCCGATTTCCGTTCCCCTGGTACTGGCATCTATAACAATCTCCGAAAATATAATTTACCTTATCCCGAGGCTATTTTCGATATTGATTATTTTAAGGTTTGTTTGTTATTTTCACATTTTCATGTATGATGATTCTTTGATTTATCTAATGATAATATTTAATCTCAGGAAAATCCTGAACCATTTTACGCTTTGGCTAAAGAATTATATCCTACGAAATTCAAGGTAAATAAAAATTCGTTATATTCGCTTCATCTTACTTGATGTATATTTCATTGATCCTCAGACAGTATATTTTCCTCAATAGCCTACATTAACGCACTATTTCATAACGCTTCTCCATCGTAAAAACATTCTTCTCCGATGCTTCACACAAAACATCGACACCTTGGAACGCATTGCTGGCTTACCAGATGACAAAATTGTCGAAGCTCATGGATCATTTGCTAGGTCAGAATGTCTTCATTGTTATGCTGAAGCTGATCCTGATCGGGTTAGGGAGGCTGTTTTTGGAGAAGAAATACCGAAATGTTCATCTTGCAAAGTTGGATTGGTCAAACCTTGTATCACGTTTTTTGGTGAATGTTTGCCTGTTAAATTTTTTGAATATCTAGACGTAAGTTATTTCGATATTCTTTTGTCGATGTACATTTTGTTTCTTATATTTATTATAAACAATAATAGCATTAGCACTTTGTAATATAGGACTTTCTCTATTGCGACCTTCTCATCGTTATCGGGACTTCTTTGCAAGTTCAACCGTTTGCCAGTTTAGTTGACCGTGTTGAATCACCTACTATACGTTTGTTGATTAATCGCGAACCTATCTACGAAGTATAATTATTAAATTATATTTTATGAATGAAATATATCTTTCTCTAACAAAAAATCGATTCTGCATTAATAATCACAGTACTTTGACTTTGAGGGAATCTATTCTGAAATAAGTCGTGATGCTTTCTATAAAGGAGATTGTGATGATGGCATAAGGAAACTTGCAGAATTGATAGGATGGCAGGTATGCTTGTGATATTTGAAAAGTTTGATTTAATATTATAGGTATTGGAGGTAACACTTACAAAATATAATACAAATGCAGGATGAATTGGAAGAACTTTACACAATCGGTCATTCTAAAATTATAAACTATACGCCTGAAACTGTGGAAAAGAAATCCGAAAATTTGGATGTTTCAATTTCAAAAGATGATAAAATTGACGGCGTTTCCGAGAAAGCGCTTGAAGATAACGAGCAAGTGTCTGACAAGGAAGTTGACAAATTATCTGAGGATATTCAAAAGATTTCTATCAACATCGCTGCCGATGAATCGGACGTAAAAATCGAGAGATTGACAACAGATAAGGCTGACGAACATCTATGATTTGACAATTTTAATTATTACCTTTTTATGTGATTTCGAATTGCATCTTTGAGACACAATGGGTTAATTCAGCTTTAATATATCATTAATGCAATATTATATAGTATCAATTTCATTCATGCTCATCATTTTTTCTTAAATGCAACATTATTTTATTAATTTCATTCATGTTAGTCATTTTTTTTAAATCGTCTGCGCATTACTTACTGAATCTTTGGCATCTTAACTTAGCACAGCTCTCACGCATTATTTAATATTTTCAGACTATTTATTGTAATCACCGAAGTTCTTCGTTGTCGTAATTTGCAACTCAAAGATTATTGATGGATTTTTTTATTAGGGTGGGATCTTAATCAGGTTATCAATCATATGGTAAAGGAACTCTTTGATATTTTTATTTTCTGTCATAGGCCAATTGTTTAATACTATTACTATTTTCTTGTGATTTTGCTAGTTTATGAAATATACTTTTTTAATGCAATATATTCTAAAGATTAATAATTTATATTAACAGCATAATTGTCCATATGGGAATTGAAAAATATTAAATGGTTTACTTAAAGCGCAAAAAATTTATGAATACTTATTTTTTTTATTATACTATATTTATTTTTTTTAATTATAGTTAATTTTTTTAAAAAATGTACATGACATATTTATATAATATAATTGATTTTTTTAAAATAAAATATATAAATAAATACTTGTTTTATATTTTCTTGACTTTGATTTTTGTATAATCCCTTGTATTTAATTAATATAGGTATAAAAAGAATTAATTTCTAAATAGAAATAATAATAATTTATAATTCGAAAAAAAAAGATCCATATCATATAATTGTTAATTATATTAATTATAGTAAGTCTGTTGCATTAAAACCAGATATATAAAACTATTACAAAAAACCAAATAATCATAACTTATTTTGTTTATTGAAGTAATTTTTCAATAATAATTAAAATAAACAATAGTTTTTTTTCTTTTTTTAAATTTTTTTTTTTAATTGTAAACAGATATTAAATGCAAGACTTTTATTAAACAAGAGTTTATAGTCATTATATTAAAGATCTTTATATAAAATATAAATTAATTCTAGTTTATTATACAGTACATATTGCTAAAATTCTTAATACAATTGATACAATTATTTGATACAATTATTTGCTACAATTAATTAAGTCACTATTAAAATATATAAATAATTAAGATATGATGCAATTATTTTTGAGAATTTTAAGAATTGAGTCAATAACAAATAATTTATGTCACATATATATCTATTATAACTATATATTAATACTAATTGATATTTTTTTTTTTTGTAAATAAACATCATTTCTTTATTTTATTTGTATATAACAAGGTATACATCATAAAAGAAACAACATCTCTTATATGTTGGTACAATGAGTTAAATGCTAACTTATTTACAATAACCATATGTTGGTACAATGAGTTAAATGCTAACTTATTTACAATAACCATATAACTAATATTGAAAAAAATTTTAAAACAATATATTTTGTCATATGGTATTGAGCAGTTATGAATATCTACTCAGTATTAAGAGAAATGATATTTGAAAAAGATAATACTAATTTTTGAATGCATTTGTTATAATTATAGTTATATTGAATAAAAAAGTTAGTGACAATTGTCAGTAGGTTTATGATGATTTTGTTTTGGATATCATTAGAGTATAAGCTTCTGCTAAAGGCAGTATAATTTCTTTTTGATCTGGTTAGGTTAATGGTGTTCGAGAATTCATTTGATTTCTATTTAATACTTGTGAGAGGTAATATGTTGGTGGTGTTGCATTGTGGTTTCCAAATTAAGTTATATAATTGGGTTAGAGATTCAGTTGATACCTTAATCCAGTTAGTAGTATCTGTTGTAAAGAAGATTCTATCAGTCATACCACATGACAGTTTTATGACTTGCCATATGTGAGAAATTGATTTGAGATTATTATCTAAATGAGAAATTTGATTGATATTGTTTATGATCTGATTGATCTTTTCTGAGACTTTAGGATACTTGAAGATATGCTAAATGTCTTTAGTACAAAGTTTGCATCTTAAACAATATCCATTTGAATATTGATTAGAGTAATATTGGTGAAGTGTTTGATGAGTTGTGAGTATTCCTGAGAGAAGTTTAATTTTGAATGTTATTAATTTGCTATAGCTGTTATTGTGTATCTTTTTGATATCTTTATTGGATTGATTGATAATTTTTAAACTATGTGGGATGTGACGCTATCAGTTAAGGGACATTTCCCTCCCGTTGTTGTTACACACAATATAAATTGTATTATAAAAATAACATTTTGAGTCTTGATTAAAGGAAATGTCCTGTGACTACTATTTAAAGGTTTGGAGAATTGATATGCTTTCACAAATTATAATACTAATTGATATTATATAGATATATTTATATTAATAGTATTAAATAGTTAGTGTTTATTCAAAACAATATTATACTTATAAAATAAAATATTTTTGTTAATTAAATTATTATTAATTTTTAAAATGTTAAGAATTTTGTAGAAAGTTGTAATATAAAAAATAATATTTTAATTTGTATTTTATATTTTATATTTTTTTATTTTATTTATAATAATATTTAATTGTTTTATCTATACTTTATATAAAAATTTTAATGTTTTGTTAGAAATTATAACTTTCTTGAATTTTATTTAAAAAAGCTTATAAATTTTCAATAATAAAATTAATTATATTTGATATTGATATAAAAAAAAAAAATAGAACTTGACAAATTGGTTAATTATATTGAAAAAGTTTTTATTTAATAAATATAAAAGTTTTTTTTTTTTTTTTTTTTTTTAGAGGCAAAGTACATTACATGTGACAGTTTTTTATTAACTTATAAACAAAGTTACAACTGTTACATGAAGAATCAGATTAGCTATTCTAATTATCCTAATTCTAGTACTACCTCTAACTAACTTAATTATACCAACTTATATCAAATAGGTGGGTTTTTATATCAGGTGCGGACTATTCAAAGGGCATATATTTAGTGATCTTAATTGGCAAAAATTTTTCTAATCAATTAGTTGTTTTTAATAAAATCAACTAGTTGCAACTAAAAATCCTAAATTCTGATTGGTTAATTTTGAACTTTCCAACTAACAATTTGTAACACTATATGTATCTATTTCTGTTACTAGAGTCCTTATTACTTTCTCACTTTTGGCTCATACTTTTGCAGTATTCATGGGCTTACTTCTTTATACTTTCTAATAAATGCTCCAAAAGTTTTGTTCCTAGGATTGACACAGACTATCAAATTTGGGAATTTTCACCAAGTGGAACATGACTCCTAAATCTCCCAGTAGACACTCCCTAAGACTCTTAGTTAGCATAGATTGTCAAATCTAGAGGCACAAATGCCAAGCAGAACACAACTCCTGTAAAGTGACCTTGAATGTTCCTTCATACCAGTATTGTCCATACAGTAATCATCTTCAAAGTTGCCTAATTGAGTTAGCAAGTTTTTTTTTTATAGTCTCGTGAACTATAGGGGAAGTGAAATGATCAATGTGGAAACTGGGTAAGGATCCTAACGATTCTCTTCGATTCTGTATTTGATTCTCAAGTTTATATTAAATTTAATAGGTGTGGTATACTCTACTATTATTTTTAATAGTGTTTTGAATCTCATGCAATTCCCTGTGATTCTGTTTGATTCCAATTTTCAGAACTATAAAACTGAAAAATATATCAAACATAGTACAATTATTATAATGCAAACCGGATGATCGACACGTCACAATACCTTAACTGGAGATTACAATCTCAATGCTCACTGGATTAGCATGTGAAATGACTTTATATGAGAAACATCACATATTAAGTTATGGTGCCAGATATCATGTGATACTGTTCAACTGCCTTCATATAGAGTTGAATCAGTATCTTGTGATCTGACCTGTGAAGTACTAACCATTGTGCTATGGATCCACAGGTTTGTTTTTTTCTTTTTCTTTTGTTTAATTTTTTCTTTTTATATACCTGTATATTTGTATTTTTATTATTATATACAGTATGTAACAAAAATAATTGAACTGATATTTTTATTATAATTCAATAAATAATAATTTAATTGAGATAAAACTTTAAATA